GGGTGCCAGAACTAACACTGTGTGGCTCATGGACATGTGCATGGTTTTTAGAGCCACAGGAGGGAAGAGAGGCCAGTGTACGACCGAGCTCTGGGCCACTACACATATCTGGAGGTGACATAGAGGGGGAGCAAGCACAGGAGTTTGAGCCAGGCCCCACACTGGAAGAAGAGTGGGAGGGGGGTGTCTTGGGTGGCAAAAAAGATGTGTATGGCTCAGGACCAAGGGGCACTTGGCAGGGTCAGTTCTGCTGAGAAGTTCAGTCACGAAGGCAGAGCATGTCCCTGAGGATGTTGGCCAAGAGGGTAGTTGGCAGGAGCTTTGTGAACAGACGTGGCTCTGTGGTGCAGGAAGGTGGACTGTGGCCTGGATGTTGGGAGAGGAACCTCCAGGGTGTGGAGAGACAGCAGGCCCCTTGAGGGCTGGTGTATAGAACAGCCCATATTTCTGAAGAGAAGAGGCTGGGCAGCTGAGAGGGACAGTCTGGAAGTTGCCCTGATGACTAAGGAGCTCGCTGCTCCCTCTATTTCCCTCATAAGCCCAGTGGGAGGAAGTCGGCTCCTTAGCAGGAGCTTGCAAGGGGAGAAGGGTCTTGATGGAAAATCACATTCCATTTCCCTGGAGGCAGCAGAAGGGGTGTTCCTGACCTGGCCAGCAGTGTGGCTCAGTGAGGGGGCAGGCAGGAGTGAGGCTGGGCTCCAGAGAAACTGCTGAACTCAGAGGAGGGCAGGTGGTGGGGGCCCCTGGGGCAGGGCAGCAGCACCGAAGTGGGGTTAGTTCTGAGCCAGGTAGGGCTGTGGCAGGGATAATGACTGAGCCAAGACTAACCAGCTTTTTTTCACACGGCCCCTAGGCTTGTATCTTGCTTAGGAAGGCCTGTTTCTGCTTGCATGTAGACTATTCATTTTTGAGCAGACAGTTCCCTCCTGACACATGAGGCATCAGAGGACAGGCAGGGATGTACGTGGTGGTGTATCTGCCTTGAGTTTTTCCTAGTGGCCCTTATGGTCCCTGCTGTTTCTAAGACCTCAGGTATGGGGCCTGGAAACTTTCCCTTCTCCTGGCCCTTCCACACTGAGACCTCTCCCCAGAAATGAGCTTAAAAACCCAGGGGGGAGTTTGCATAAGAGCAGGTTCCCCTTCAGTCAGATAGTCATAGATGCTTCTAAGAACATCACCAACTGTGGGTTTTGACATTCAGAGCACTTGGAGTCCACCACTGGCCAAGGTGAGACTTTGGACAAGTCACTCGTCTAAGCCTTAGTCCTTAGAGCACCCATTGCAGTGGGTTTTTATAGAGACCCCTTGAGGGAATGTTTGCAGAGTATCCAGCCTGCACCTTGCTCACAGTAGGAGACAGCAAGCCCTTTCACTCAGAACTTGGTGACAGTTGATAGAAACCCAGCTCAGACTGACTGAAACAATACAGACAAAAACAAACAAAACCGTTGGCTTGTATAACTTCAAGTGTGTTGGGCACTGACTTCAGGCACAGCTGGATCCAAGGGCTTAAACAATGTTTTCAAGACTGTCTTTGGATTGTGCTGCTTCTGCGTTGGTAAGATAACTGCCAGCAGCTTCAGCCATCTCTTTCTCTGTGGGGGCCTTAGATTTGCTGTAGGAGAGACACAGTGGGTAATCTGGTGGGAAGAGAGGCTTGGGGCTCAATTTGCAGAACACTTTACAAAAGATTGAAAACACTGGCTGCTATTGTGGATTATAATGCTTATGCCACTCAGGGCCCATCACTGTTCCTGTCCTCTCCACAGCCCAGTGATTCCAGCAAGTTGTAGAATTGAGCCTTACTAGCTCTGACTGGCTCCCTTGCCCATCCCCTACATGATCACTATGACCAGGGGAATAGGGCACCCTGACCAGCCTGGGTGATGTGCCCACCCCTAGGATGGGGGTAGGAGGACCAGCTCCACCCAAATCACTTGTTCAATCGTGGGGCTGGTGGTTCTCCAAAGAAAAGTGGAGGTGCTCATTCCTGAAGAAGGGGAAGGAATGCTGGACAAGCAAAGCAAGCACAGACAGCCACTTTCTAGACCTTCAGTGATAATTAGGTGCCTTCTTTTTCCTGCATCCCCTCTCCTGATGAAGAGACTAAAGGAGTAATTAGTTCTAGGCAGTTTTACTGGGAACATTTAATTTTAATTGCTTGGGAAAAGGATCGGCAAGGGTCATCCCCACTGGATGTCAGAGGCCTTGAGCAGTCAGCTGAGCAGCTGACCTGTTAACCTCAAAGCTGGAAGGCAAGAAGCTGTGATTAAGGGCATGTAGCCCTGGGTGTGCAAGGCTGACCCTGGTGTGCTCTGTAGATGGGAAGATCCGGTTGACGACCCTGGAGCTGAGCTGCCTGCTCCTAAAGCAGCAAGTCATGACCAGCACGGGCTGCATCATAAAGGATGTGCACCTGGCCTGTCTGGAGGTAAGGTCCACTCCCAGTACCTGCGAGCCACTGCCACCTGGGAGAGGCAAAGGGAGCCTTGGTTCATGGTGTCCACAGCACCAGCAAGAAGAAGCGGGCCCAGTAACCCTGATGCCCCCCTGCAACCTGCTTGTTCCCAAAGAACTCCCTTTCCTCTGAGATTGGCTTGATGTGAATTGTAGTTTCTGTTATGATTATTTGGCTCCAGGATTTAGAAATCCTTCTTTTTGTATTACAAAAGTTTCATACATCTACAAACATGCACACACATTTATTTATTTATAGTTTATTGTGCTAATATCTACATTTATTGTTTTAAGTAGCTTATGTTGTTTCCCCCTTATTTTCCATGTTTATTTTAGAAAATTTAGGAAGTATAGTTGTCAGAAGTAACAACTATAATTGATACTTTGGTGTGTCTTTCTAGGTACACACATACATTCACACTGATTTTTAAAAATAAAAACATAGTCGTCATGACCATATTTTATAACCCATTTTCCCCACTTAACTGTATATGAACAGCTTTCTGTGTCATAGCGAATCACCTCCCCTCTGCTCATTTCTTATTTTGAGTTCTCTCCTCCTTCTCCTTTCCCTTGTAGGTTAAGGGATATTAGCCCAGCATCTGTCTTACATTCAGATTTTAGATTCAGTAATTTACCCAATTCACCTGCCTTCCTCACATCTTCCCTCTCTTTTAACAGGGTGCAAGAGAAGAAAGCGTCCATCTTCTACGGCACTTTTATAAGGTAACTGGCAGAGCATGGGGGAGGGCAATGTGGCATGTGGTGTATAAACAGGAGTGTAGAGTCTGCCCTGTACACGCAAAGGTTATGTGTCTTCAGCTATTTCTCTACCTGTGGTTCCTGAGTAAAAATGCTCAATTTCATAATCTCCAGAGCGGTGGTCTCTCAACTTTTCTGCCCATGCTCTCTTATCAGTACAACTTTTGAAGACTCACCCCTAGTATGTGACAATTTGTTTATCAATTCGATATGAATTTGTTTATGGATGGATTTGTATGTCAGTTATGAATTATACATACACATGACTAAATTATACATATGAACTTGTATGTTCATGAATTATGTATGCTTATACATATAAAATTACTTTTGAATTGCATATGAACTTACAAATTATATACACGTATATTACTTACATACATATGTGCTAAGAAACCTCATACAGGCTTCCAAACATTTGTCATTAAGTTTAGTGAGATTTTGTTAAGGACTACCATGACTTTTCAGTATCTGGAAAATTTGTAGATTTGTCTTTAGGTTCAAGATGATTAGTTTCAAAATATCTCATTGTGATGGTTTTGAATGAATCCTTATCTTAAGGCATAGCATATTTTTTGGCAAAGCTTGTCAGTTGTCAGCAAAAGTGGATTAATCCATATGCCAGACTGCCTAGTAGATTTCTGATTTTTTGGCCTCTACTTCAGATCTTTCCAGATCTAATTAGTGATGGTTTCCCCAGTAATTTAACTGATGAGGAGATTCTCTTAGGAGGCAGTGTCAGGACTGCTATTTTCGTGTTCCCCTGCACTTCATTTTTCGTATTCTCTCTCAACTTCTGTGAATTATGTACATATATACAAGGAGTCTTTTTCTTTGTAGGACACTCTTTAAGCCACTGTCCATTATTGTTAGTGTTCGCTGAGATAAAACCAGGTCATGTGACCTGGAAATCCACCTCGCCAGGGTCATATGACCCCATGCAGCTGCAATAGAGCAGACATGCCCAGACGAGGGTGGCTCCACTGTGGGCCCCTTGCACTGGGGAGGAAATCCCAGTCTCCCCTTAGATCATCCCAAACCACACATGGCCTCTGAATGAGGATATGTGTCCTCTAGCAAAGCCGTGAAGAAGGCAAAGACCTCACGGTTGCATCACTCATCCTTGAATCTTCACTGTAACTGTGCTCAGTGTATTTCCCCTCAGAAAGCTGTTGGATTGCAAAAGCAGAAAGACATGTTAGTAGGCATTTCCCCAAAAGGTTTTTCTTTATCGTTAACAAAAGGAGAGCAGGTCCTCAACGTGTTGTTCAATGTCACTTTGTTATAATGTTGAGAGGGAAAAATCGATTCCCATCCAGGGCCACCTGTGGAGTTTGCATGTTCTCCCCATGTCTGTGTAGCTGTTTTCTGGGGACTCCAGTTTCTCCCACATCCCAAAAATATGCACCTGAGGTGAACTGGCATGTCTGCATTGTCCCCGTCTGAGTGAGTGAGTGTGAGTGGGTGTGAGTGGCCCTGCGATGGAAGGGCATTCTGTCCAGGGTAGATCCCACTTTGCACCCTGAGCTGCCAGGACAGGCTCCAGTCAACTGTGACCCTGAACTAGAATAAGCGGGTTAGAAAAGAATGATCTGACTGGTTTTTATTAATGTTTCTTACATGTTTAATATTAGAAGTATTTGGGGTCTTTATTTAGAAGTTTGGTGATGTTTCTGTGACCAGAAATATGCTCTAAGAACTTACTTCTTGTTTATATCAATTGGCCTATAGTAAAATTGATTTCATTTTATGTGATCTCACTGAAAGTCAGTTTCCTAGAACCTATCTACAGCGTTAAGTGAGGACTTGCTGTGTTTGAATTGTAGCTTCCTTCTCCCAACCCAGTTTTCTCTTTCTTTTATACCTATCAGGTTCACACCTAAGTGTAATATCTCAGAAGCTTTTGGGTTTTCAGGGGCTGTTATTTCTGTGGTTATTGCCTGGTACTTACCCCACACAAGAATATTCAAATTTATCTGTAGATCTGATAACTGGAAAAATATACAAAGGACGTATTGCTTTTCCCACCCTGACTATGTGTGTGAGAGAGACAGAGACAGAGAGAGAGAGAAAGAGATTCAGGACTTATGAGAAACAGGGCAGTTCTAATAGTCCCTATGCATTCAGCTGAATCTCTCCTCCCCTCCCCAGCTATGGTCCTATCCAGTAATGATCATAATGACCATGAGCGCTAACACCAGTGCTGACCTAGTAGCAGGCTCTGTGCTTAGCATTTTATGTGTGTGAACTCATTTCATCTTCACAAAGACCCACACAGACATGGGCTGTCATTCCAGCCTTGCAGCGAAACAAAGGGAGTCTCCATGAAGTAAGGCTGGGATTCTGCCCCTGGTTTAGGAATCTTGGAGCCAAGTTCATACCCACCACCCTGTTCTGAGAGGGACCTCCTAGATAGTCCTCAGGGCTGCAGGAACTGCAAAACCTCAAAGGCACGGCTCAAAAACAAACAAGCCTGTAATTTTAGTGTTAAGCATATTTAATCATACTCTTCCTTTCAGAGGTGTGGAGCCTCATAGTTTTAACATGGCAAGTTAGCCAGGATTCCCCATTCCTCAGCCATTCTTGACAAATAAAGGATGTTAAACACTTGAAATGTTAGCTATTTTAATATTTTAATTATCTATGGTGTTCTTCCTGGTCTGTGTTTTTTAACTGCCTTGACAGAATAACTCTAACTACATATGCTTAGACAAGGGAGAAAACAGTTGAGAGGTGCAATTTGATATCTGCACTTTAGTTGGAGCGTGTGTTCGTGTTCACGTGTGTATTTTACTTCCTGGTGATTTACGAGAATTCTCTAATGAGAAACAGATGGCCCCAGAAGCTGTGAACTGGAGTTCTTAATACTTTGTTGTTTATGGAGGAAAATATGCATAATCTCCTTTTCCCTCCCTTCCTTTCCTTTTAGGGAGAAGAAATTTTTCTGGACATGTTTGAAGATGAATACAGGAGCATGACAGTAAGTGAGGGGCCAGAAGGCACCTGTGTGCCTACAAAGCTTGCCCTGATCAACCGAGAAAGAAAGAGAAAGATAGAGAGCGATCATGCAAAGAGACTGATAGGGAGATAAACTGGAAAAGGTGATCCTCACCACTGTGGAAAGTTCAGATGACATTCATTCCCCTTGAGTTGTGCTGTCACATAAGACAGGTCAGAAAGATTCACTTTGATGTGAATAGTATTTGATTGAGGACATTTCCATGTCAGGTGTGAAAAGCCTGTTATACATGTTAAATCTCTAATCCCCATGTCAGCCCAGTGGAGTAGCTACTATCGTTTGCCTTCTTTTACTAATAAGGAAATGAGAGTCAGGCTGAGTGAGTTGCCCACATGTGCCCGGCCAGTGAGGGGCAGAGCAGCTCGCCTCCCAATCCCTTGCCCTTCTTTGTATATTATGCCACCTTGTTCTTTGCCATTTTTCCAGAATGTTCTGGAATCTTCCCTGAATCTGCAGTGCTATCCCAAAGCCTTCCGTTTCTCCATCCAGCAGACAGCATTGTGGGGAAAGATAGGCTCAGAAGATTGCAGCTTTCTCTATGCTGTTTCTTTGTCTCCGCACCTGCCCCTTAGTTGGCACTCACTAAGTAGATGATAAATGATCTTCTTCATGGACATTACTCACCAAAGAGTGAAGTGATTCAGGAAGTTTATAATAAGCCTAAGTGTTTAAAGTATCCAAAAGAAAAAGGCAGGCAGAATACACTAAATGGCTTCTTGGCTCCCTGGCCCATTCACTAGGTTTCTGCACAGCTTTTCCCTGTTTAGTTAGTTTTATATTATAGAAGGAACAAAACGTGTGATATGATTGAAGCCCACATTCTAAAAAAAAGATAAAAAAATAAGCTTGTGATGCTTTAAGGAGTAAAATGAATTCTATAGAAAGTTTACCTCTGTGAAATGTCATTCCTTTCTGATGCTAGATATAAATGAAGTGTCAGTGTCCAGCATGTGTACATTGAATGGTCAGTAGTGATGCAGCAGAGTTCTAGGAGGAGGTGTGATGCTACAGGGATCTTAGTAATCAGAGAAGGCCTATAGAGGTGGTGTGGAAGGAGGAGATAGCTCTGGCCCTGCCTGGCCCAGCGGCTATGGACACCTGCCCTTCCTCTGAGCTCAGTATTCCCCTCTATGATATGGGACAGCACCAGCATCTAGCATCCAGTAGGAGGCGAGCCCTGTGGTTCCTGGCACTTAGTAGATGCTCAGTAAGTGGCTTTGTTATATTATCCCAGCTAAGAGCTAAAGGGGCAAGGAAGGAAGGGGGAATGTTGGTTGTGTGATGGAAATCATAGGAGGTCTAGAGCCAGGTAAGCCTGGGTCTATGTATTGTTTCTCCCACCAGCCAGCTGAATGGGCCCACATCCATTCCTCGGCTTCTCTGAATCTTTTTTCTCATTAGCAGATTGGGAAGCATTCCCTCTGCACTTGTTGGGAGTATTAAACAGGATCATACGTGCAACGCCTTTAGCTCGCCACCTGCCCCATAGTCAGCCCTCCTTAAATGGAAGCTGCCATCACTAGGACTGTCTCTTCATAACTGGAAGTACAAAGAGAAGAGACAGGCAGCAGTCACGCACATGCACCAGGGCAGACCACCCTGAAGGGAGCACTGTAAGGGCACCAGCCTCCTTCCTAAGGACCCTTCTCCCTGCTGGGCGGGGGGGAAGGAGCATGAGAAAGCAAAGCTTCTCAAGAATGTCTGAGCTGTCACTTGAAATGAAGGAAAAATCTGCACCTTAGAAAACAAAACAGGCACATCTCTCACACGTCTGGCTGCCTCGAGGCTTCCCTTCAGTCTTAGTCCAGGGTTCATGTGTTTATTTACCTGTGTGACCTGCCCTGTCCCCTTCTCCCTTCAGTGAGATCTCCTGTGATGTGTCTTCCAGATGAAGCCCATGAACGTGGAATATCTCATGATGGACGTCTCCATCCTGCTGCCCCCCACGGGCACGCCACTGACGGGCATTGACTTTGTGAAGCGGCTTCCATGTGGTGACGTGGAGAGGACCCGGCGGGTGAGTGGGCGCTGGACCTGGCCTCTCCTGGGCAGTTGTCTGCCAGGACCACTCACAGAGCAGGGAAGAAAGGGTCTCTGGTCAGGTCAAGAGTCCACCTTCCTGCACAAGTGCAGGTAGTAGGGAGACAGACAATACCTCCCACACCCTGCCAAGAGGAGTAACCTCCCAAAGCATGCTGCCCTCTGCTAAAGCAGGGATTGAAATCTCATCGCGTCTGGCACCGGATGTGGGTTGCAGGCAGGCAGCCTTCGCTGGTACAGGGCCCCCCTGAGCTTTGGGAGAGGAAGCCGGGGGGCGGGGTCTGCGAAGGACGTGGGGGAGTGAGCAGAATAACACAGTGCAGGTGAGGCTGGCGTGGAATCAGCCCAGATAGACAGGACCCCCAGAGATGGTGTGATGTTAAGGTATCTGAGCGATCTTGGGGTGAGGCACACGCAAATGAAATGGGGCTTCTTGCCAGCCTGTGGGAGAGACCTGTGTGAAGGGCAGATTAGTTCTCAGAACCCAGCTGGAGTGTGTGCTTCCGTTATCAGCGTTTTTTCCTGAAGCAATCTCGCAGGGCTGTTCATGGTATTTTATCTCCCTCGTAAGATTACACTTTCTTTCTTAGAAAGCACCATAACCTTTTCCTAGAAAATCATTCCCTTGAGATGTGAAGGGTAGTGGATAAATTAGTGGAATTAATTGCACTCAGCTCTCTTATCAGCCTACATCTTCCTCTCAGTTAATCCGCGTGTAACCAGAGCGGCTGAGATGTTTAACTTTGGATTATGAGAAGCAGGAGGGACCTGCTGGATCTGCCTCAGACCAGAGAGTTCTGTGGCCTTCCTCCACCCAGCTGGCAATTTTGCCACAGAGACCTGGGGGACGGGGGCAGAGGAAGTGGGGCCCATAAGTCAATCCACGTTCCTTGCTGTCTGACCAAACCCACAGGCCTCACCACAGGACACGCCCTGTCCAAGCCAGTGAAGCCTTCCTTCCTTGTGCTCCCAGCCAGTGATGCAGGCCCTGTGGCAGGCACACAGTTGTGTTTGTGGGTGGCAGTGTTTGCACTGGGCATTCTTAGCATCAGCTTTTATAAGAGTACTGGTTCTGACAAGTATGAGTCGTGTCAGCAACTCCTTCATGATGCAGGCACACTCACCCTTATAGCTTTGGGTTGGTCTAAGAGGTGCTCCCCAGCAAGCTTACAGTGAAGCTGCCCACCTGAATGGGCTGTGTGTCCCCAGGCCAGAGAGGACTCTTTCCCCGAGGTCCTCTTGTCCCTTGAGCCAGAAGGTCCAGAAGGCTGTGGATGCTGAGAGCTGCTGCTGTGGGTTGCATCCTGCCTCCTTTCTGGGTCATGGTCTGTCAGGCTTTGTTAACAGTTCTTTATATGAATTTACTCACATAATGCTACAACTGTCCTAGGAGGCTGTCATTATTATTCTTCCCATCTTACAGAGGAAGAAACTGAGGCAAAAAGAGGTCAAGTGATTTGCTTAAGGTCACCCAGTTATTAAGTAGCAGAGCCAAGATTCAGTTCAGTTGGGGTGGCCTCCAGAGCCACTCTGACCCACTGTTCCCCACTGCTACCTTCATTGTATTTATTAGCACTACTCAGCACTGGACACCAGTGCTTTAAGGAATCAGAGTATAGAGGGTGAGGTGGGAAGAGGCAATATCAATCCTTGTGGCTGGGGCCATTAGGAAAGGAACATGGAATCAGGTCCCTAATCCTATCTGGGGAGGGGCGGGGAGCAGGCACCAGAGGGATGTGGCACATTCCGGCACTTCCAAGGAGGGGACTGTGGCTAGAGCCAGAGTGAGGGAGGCTACATGGGAAGTGATAAGCCTGAAGGGGCTGGAGGAACCAGAGCTTGGGGGCCTTGGAGCCCAGCGAGGTTCTTGGCCCTATTAGCAGATTTCTGACATCATGCCCTGCTGGCTTAGGGCAGATAGTCCTGATCCACAGGAGAGAATAGGAGAAATTCAGGGGTAAGTCATATGGCAGAGGAAGAGTTGCTTGGGCTTTGGGGTTTCTGCTCCCTTCTAAGCCCCTCTCTTTTCATCTAGAAAGCAACATGTGCCCACCTTGTCAGAGTTGTTATGAGGACTCAGTGAGAGGCAGAAACACTGAAGGCCACTGGCAGTTCCTGATGGCAGGGGTTTGCTTCTTGCTCCTTCACGTCTAACTTAGCTGCAAGTTCCCAGGGCTGTGCTGCCCACCACCCTTGCCCCAGATAGGTTGCACAGTCCAAACTGCTAACTGAAGCAGACAGAGCCCCTGGGAACATCTTGGCTTCCCTGGGGTCTCTTGGTCAGCCTTTGTCTATCTGACAAGTTTATAAAAGCTACTCTTCCGTCCCAGGTTCCGTGGGTTTAGAGCCAGGGAGAAGGTTGATATTAAAATAGGGCTGGCCACCTTCAAGCAAAGCCGTCCACCCAAGAGAAGCTTCCCTTGGTGACTTCAAGAATCAATTTCTTCCTTTTTTTAGTCTAAGTATAGTTGGCATGCAGTATTATATTAGTTTCAGGTGTACAATGCAGTGAAGAATCAGTTTCTGAAGGGGGATTTCCATCACTCACCTTAGTCCAGTTCCTCTTGCAAGGTAGCTATTTGGAATCCTCCAGAAGCTTAGCTCCTCAGCCCATTTCAGACATCATAACACAGCGGTGTGTTTTGAATTTGAGCTTAAGGAAGTGTATGGTTTAGCAAGCAATTGAGGGCTTATGTGGTTTGTTTCAAGTTCTTTGCTTGTATCCAAAGAACATTCCATTTCATCCCTTTGGATTCAAAGGCCTTTTTTTTCTTCCTCCACCAACTAGACTTTTCTAACTCTAGGAGACTTGAGCTTTCAGAAATCCCACTCTTTATTTTCCTTAGGGACTTGTCAGAGAAGTTCAAACAACCTGACTAGTAAATCATTGCTAACTTGTAAAATATTCCCTCATACATTCATCAAAGAACTACTGGATTCATATGCCAAATGCTGTGACTGGGGGTGCACAAGTGACCAGGGAAAATGTCCCTCCCTTGTGGACCTCACGTGAAATCGAGAGAGGTAGTTTATTTACAAGTAAGCAGATGTCAAGCTTGTTATCACACTGCAGTAAAGGCTTTGAAGAAAGTGGGCTAGCACTACTTTAGACACAGAGCACTACTACCAACGAGAGGCCTGAACTGAAACTGAATGGTGGGAAGGAGCCAGCCATGTAAAGACTAAAGGAGGCACTTTCCAGTCAAAGGGATCAGTGAGTGCAAAGTTCCCGATGGGACAGGGTACAGCGTGTTCAAGGAGCAGGATCACTGTAGCAGAGTGAGTGAAGGGGCAGGGAGGAGGGGAGGGGACAGGAAAGGAGGGTGGCAGGGCCTTGCAAGCCATGAGGAGGCATCTGCCAATAAAGTCATGTTTTCCCGCATGCATTTTACACATTTCACTATTTATTCTTTCATTTGACATTTTTGTTGAGCATTTTGTAGGTGCCAGGCACGGCAAGATATAAGGATAGACAATGAACAAATAATATACAAAAGACCAAAATAGCAAGAGTGCCACTGACTCTGAGAAGGGAAGTTCATGTTGAAATGAGGGTCACTGGACATACTGGAATCTGATGAGAGCATGCAAGCAGAACCTCTGACTTGGGCTGGACCTACCCCTGTGTGGGGGCATTTGAGAGAAGCAGTTAAGAAAGAACACAGACTTGTCAGTCAGACCTACTGAGGCTCAATCCCAGCTCTAGCTATGTGACCTCAAGCAAGTTTCTTAACCTCCCTGAGCCTCAACTTCCTTGTGTGTCCTGCCTGTCAGCTCTTACCCAAAGTAGAAGAGAAAGTGACTGTGAGGTGATGAGCCCAGTGCCTAGCAGGTAGTAAGCGCTCAGGAAATGTTGGCTAAAACAGTGGGGGAGCATTCTAGCATCTTAGGTGGAAAAGAAATAGAGTCTTTGATGATCTAAATCTATTGAAGTTCGATGCTAGGGAAAAGAGCTCAGGAGAAGATTTTTTGGTGAATATCAAAATCCGAATGTAAGCCACTAGCCTTCTTTATGTAGTAATCTTGGAAACCATTATGAAATAAATTGTTTCCACAAAGTTTTTTTGTCCCTGCATTCTGTTCCCCTGTTCTCTTGTAAAACCACAAACAATTTTTGTTTATCGCTAATGACCTTGAGGAAATAGGATATTTTGCTTTACTCTTTGGATGTGTATTGCGCATTAAAGAAAATACAATAGCATCTCATAAAGTTTTAAAAGTAGAGTGAAAGAATTTCCCATGATTTCATCACCCTAAACAATCAACACTTAGACATTTTTGTGTGTCTTCTCTCTGTCTTTGCAAACACATCTTTTCATGGTTTCAGGGAGAGTATACCATGACCTCGCTTTTATCCTCACACCCTTTTTTCTTTTCGCTGTAGAGCAAGAGGTTTGTCATGTGGTAATACAGTTTTAATAAGTCTGATTTCTTACTGGTGCATAAAAGTGTATCTGGTGACTTCTGCCATAATTTACTTAGGCCTTTTCCTGCTGGTGGACATTTTGGTTGCTTGCAGTATTACATTATTTTCAACTAAACTGTAATGAGCAGCTTCACAGTGTTTTCTTTCTTTTGGCTTATTTCTTTAGGATAAGTTCCCAGAAGTGGAATTTCTGGTTCAAACGGTATGAACATTTTTGTGTGTGTGACTCTACATATTGCCAGATTGCTTTCCCAATGGGCTGTGCCCACTTTAAACTGCTTCAGCACTCTTAAGAATGACTGACTTTCACAGCCACGTCCACAGTCTTGGTGGGCTGCTAACCTGAGTAACTGTTGCCTAAACTCAGCAGCTTGCAAATGCAGCAAGGAAAGCAGGGGCAAGGGCTCGAATGGAGCATTTTCCAGGGCCAGGCCCAGGGCGTAGTGTGTCACTATGTTGTTGCATGTTCATAGTGGCCCCGTGATCTTGGGTGGTGGGTCCTCATTTCCAGAGCTTGAGCCTGGCCTCAAGGAATTCATGTGACTCACCTGACCCCATGTTGAGTCAAGGTTTGTCTGACTCTGAATCCATCCTTTTGCCCTGCTCATCGGACTCATCCCCCAGGACTCTCCTTGCCAGAGTTTGCTCCCCCATGAATTGAAGCAAACTGGAGGTGTCTTTATATTTGAGCTTAGTCAGCTGTCACCCCTTTCCAAACCTAATCTGTTCTTCCATAGTCACTCTTCCTGGCATTCTGTGGAAGCACCTGAAAGAATAATAATTCCTTTTTAGTAATGATTTTTAATGTGCATGTTTATTTAGCAAAGTAAAGAAAATCACTCAGTAGAAGCCTGGGTCCCAAGCCTTAAATCTGTTAAAGGCAAAGGCATGTGTTTGGAAGAACATATACTTTGGGAGTCTGATTATTAATTGAGTCACCTTGGGCAGGCTGCCTGACATCTCTGGGCTTTAGTTTCCTGTCTGTAAAATGAGAACCAAGCAGGTCCTTAAAAGGCTAGAATGAGATGACACAGTATAGCACCCACCCGTACATACCTGGCAGGCTGTGGGGAGCAGAGAGCATGGTTATTGTCTTAGGGGGTGGTGGGATGAATTTGATGACCCTTATCCTGGTGTCTTTCTTTTGTGAATTCTCAGAGTTGTGTTGCTGGTCAAAGTGCCTGCCAGACCCTATAAGGCCCCAATGGGAGCCTAGCTTTTGCCCAAGAGGAGCATCCAGCCCTGTGGGAATCTGCCCTCCTCACGTTCCTGGGCATGGGCTCAGGCACTCTTCCTTTTCTCAGGAGTTGGGGAAGGGACCAGGAAAAGTATTATTGGAGGTTCTATTTTATGTTTTGTATTCTGCTTTATATTTTTTATTATTTTTTATTTTTTTAATTTTGGAAATATCTTTCATTTGTTGCCTGAAGAGCAAAAGCAGATATTTTACCAACAAGGTCTACATTAGGAGCCAAACTTCAAATTCCCTTTATATTGGAAGGTTTTGGTTTTCAGGGTGATGAGCTGTAAGCTGCACACATTGGTCTTTCCTCATTTCCCATCTAGGGTCCTGCTTGATTTCTCTGCCTTCGGGACCCTGAGAGGAATGGGTTTCTGACAGTGAAATGAAGCATCCACTCAACTCAGACCTCACTATTATGGGCCTTTTTCCTTTTTCCTTCATCTCCAAGGCCATGATTCCCTATTTTCTCAAACTGCCACATAGTTCAGGTGCCCACCCACATTTTGGGCTTTCTGCACTCACTCGGGCTGGCTCGGGCATTGGAATTTCCTCGTGTGCTTGGTTAAGTGACACAACTGTCAGACATTCCTGGGTTCCAACCCCCCACTCAGGCACTCAGCAGCTGTGTGGACTTAGATTTCTCTGCCTCTCCACTCCATTTCTTCCTGCATGAAATCTTTACATTGCGATAAAGTGCCCACATTGCCTGGCACACAGTAGGAGCTTAATGAATAAAGGCTGTTTTGATTTTTTTAAATGAAAGTATACCTTTTTTTCTGATTGTTGCAGATGTCTTTATGAGATTGTACTTTAAAAAACTAAGATCAGATCAGTACTAATGCCACCATCACTGCCACCACCATCATCAATATAAAATAAAAGCTTATCTTTCTCTAGGGCTCATGGTTGACTGAGGGGGATCATGACGTCAGAGTAGGTCCAGGAAGTAGACTTGTTCTTCTAGTTTTCTACATTAGATTAACTGATTGGCCCACGGTCTCCTGCTCGTTCTGGGCCAAAGCAGGATTAAGGTTAGGCCTGCTGATGGGCATCTTTGCTGCCTGGGTTATCAGGAGCCCTTGTTTTGGGAGGCATCTTGTCATATAAAGGGCAGTTGTCCTGGCCTGTAGCCCTCAGAACTGTAAACAAGAAGACCCAAAAGTGGGCTGGAATTCATCTTTGTGTGGCTTGCCAGTGGCGACAGTGGTTTGTCACCATGCCTGCCCCCGTGCCCAGCTGGGGAGTGACTGGAGTAAAGGATAGCCGCCCTTTTACAGAACACATGCTGGCTGCCTCCCCTTCCCACCCCCCAGCTTTGTCTCAGAACCTCCCAGCAGCTGGGTGAGGTGGGGACTACCCTCCCTACTTCACAGATGAGAACACTGAAGCTCACAGAGGCCAGAGGCCTTGCCCAGCGTGGTGGACCTTGGAGTCCAATGCAGAGCTCATATGTCTGACTCCAGAGCTGTTGCCCTGTGGCCATCAGCTAAAGTCAGGGACAGTGGTCTGGAGGAGGCCTCTCCTGTGGGCCGCCCCTCTACTTCTTGGTCTCTGGTTGGTGGGCAAGTGGGGAGGGTGCCACCCGGGCAGGCTGGCCCAGCGTTAAGGCTGCTTTCTGCACAAACTTCTCTGGCTTCCCGGGTGTGGGACTCTGCTTTTTTCCTGCTCTCTAGAAACACCTAATGGCCACACTGATTCCGTCAGACCTCCTCTTCCATGGGTCAGGAATCCCAGTACTGATGGAACCACCTCTGCTCCCAAAGAGCTGGCTGGGGAGGCTTGAGGGGCACTCAGGGCACTAACATCGCTGTACACCTGCCATATGCCAGGTTTGCTGCCCCGTCAGTGACACACCCCGGGTAGAAGGCCAAGGGACCGAGACTTTGAGGTGAAGGGGCTCATCCAGGGAGGGCCAGGGTTTTAATTGGGCCTGGCCTGCTCTGAGCTCCACATCCCCTCTCTTCTGCCGCCCCTGCCCCTACATTCAGTAGGTGGGACCTTGAAACACTTTCACTCGTGATTTGGATTTCCAAATTTCATTGTAAGAGGCCTAGTTCTAGCTCTCCCTAGATGTGTGCCTGGGGCAGGTCTTGTCACATGACACTAGGGAAATGTCCTGGCAAATGACAGGTGCTCAGTTGAGGTAATGTGGCCCAAGCCTGTCACTGTGGATAACTGAAAAGAGGCTGTGCCTTTGGGGTTTTTGTTGTTGTTTTAGTTTTGTTTTTGTCTTGCTCTGAAAGCACCAGAGCCATGATTCTGGGAGAGGGAGAGAGGTGGGCTTTGTTTGTTTTTAATCAAGTGTTACAGTGTGATTTCTCCATGTGGAGCATCTCACCAAAATGACTGCAGTCTCACCCTTCTCTGCTCTCTGTGCTGTTCCTTCAGGCCATCCGGGTGTTCTTTATGCTCCGTTCCCTATCCCTGCAACTACGAGGGGAGCCAGAGACCCAGTTGCCACTGACGCGGGAGGAAGATCTGATAAAAACCGATGATGTCCTAGATCTCAGTGAGTTGGCCCTCTGAGTCACAGCACGGGGGACAGTGGTGCTGACTCACACGTCATTGGGAGGGTTGGTGTGTGACCTGCATTTTGTACTGGGGTTGATCTGTGACCTTAAGCAAACAGACTGTGCATGTCCCATAAAACTTTCGAAGAAAGGGACCCAGATTCTTGGCACCTTGATTCTGGGCCTTCGGCTTTTGCTCTCTGGAGACCAGGGGAAGCTCTGCGGGTGGTTTGCTAAAAGATCTGTGCAGGGGCTTTAGGGATCCTCAAGCTCTAGGATCCTCGTCCTCCATACAGTCATAGCAGCATCAGTTTGATTGGTTTTGTCTATTAAGGGCTTTCTGTGATTCCAATGATTAAATGGTTCTGCTGCAAAAAGAAAGAAAGAAAGCTTTTACAAATGCAGGTTATGCCCTGGCCAGGTGGCTCAGTTGATTGGAGCATTATCCCGTACACCAAAAGGTTGTGGGTTCGTTTCCCAGTCAAGGCACATACCTATGTTGCTGGTTCGATCCCCATTCGGGGTGCGTACAGGAGGCAACCGATCGGTGTTTCTCTCTCACATCAATGTTCCTTACATCAGTGGACCACTGAGGGTTGACTTTTGGGCTAGAAACCCCTGCCCTGCTCTGTATTCCCTTGAGCAAATGACTAAAACCCTCACAGTGTCTATTTTCTTGCCTAGAAAATGGGGATGAACTTCCGTATATTCGGGGTTATTTTTACACTTGAGTGAAATGTGATATGAAATGTAACTTGACCAAGCATAGTGCCTAGCATGTAACTATTCTCGGGAAGTTGTAGTCAGTATCACCCATGAATTAAATGAGGTGAAGCATATAAAGAGCAGAGTAAATGCTTATTAAGAGTTTACCTGGGTGTCTAGCTCCTTTTTCTGCCTTTTTCTTGTTTATATTCTTTTTTTCCTTCTTTTTCTTGGAAGAACAAAGAAGCTATGTCCCCTCTGTGCCCTATGCCCATCTCCTTTGGTCCTTTCACTCTTGAGAAATGGCCACGGCAGGTTCTGTAAGGGTTTAAATTGATCGAATTTTCTAGAGAGAACTACAAACCAGTCTCTGATTTGATTCAAGGAAAGAGAGGGAAACAGCTTGCTTTAAAGAGGTCTACTGTATTATATTTGAAAATGGAATTAAATTTTATGCTGGGAACTCACATTTTCTCCCTCTCCCACCAAGAGTGGTCTGCTGAAATAAAGGTTAAAAGTATTTCACTTATCAATTTTAATTGATTAGATTGCTAGTTGAGATCACTTAACTGAGCATTTTTGGGTAGTTGGCCATTAAGAAAGTAATGGCTGTCTGTCTTTATCCAGCCTGATTGCAAATTATGTCTTTGCTAAAGAGGATGCCATCCAGAAAATATTAGGAATTATGGATTCTACAAGTACTAGAATAAGATTTGCATGTGTTGTTCACCTTTTGTGTGTGTGTGTGTGTGTGTGTGTGTGTGATTAGAAGGAGCTTCTCACCTTCCACTGGGGAAATACTAACATGCTTTGCATTTCACATAATGTCCTCTGTATATACAAAATAAAGGAAACATTGGAATGTAGGTGAAGGCATTTTTATTTGCTGAACGATTGGAAGCTGGGCATACTTCTTATGAACTCAGCGTTTTGTCTTCCTAACAAAAGAAAAGGAAGCTGACTCGGAGAAATGTTTGAGGTTGGTCAACTTTTATCTAAGGTGATATGGTCTGACACCTTAAAGGAATGCTAGCTCTGCACAGCAGGAAGAGGTGTATGTACCAAACTTGTCAAACTTTAATAAGAAACCACAGCATAAAAGTACTCAGAAGCCATCTCACGGGTCTGCTGACCAGCAGCAGCAGGCCCCTAGGCCACGTGTGGCAGGTGAGCTCTGGTGGGGTGACTTCTGACAAGGAGCATCAAAAATCCCATCAACCTGTCGTCATTCCTCCAGAGGGAAGCAGACTGCTTAAAGCCTTTTTGTTGTCACTGAAGAGGAGAGTGGTGGGAACAGAGGTGGCAAACGCAGCTGGGAAGGAAGGAAGGAAAAGGAAGGGGAGGGGACAGGACGGGAGGGGAGGGGAGGAAAAGAGGGAAGGAGAAAAGAAGAAAGAAAGGGAGGGGAGGGGAGGGGAAGAGAAGACAGACTAGACTAATTAAGGTTGTGAAATTTCTTCAGAGAGAACTGTATGAATCTCCATATACCCAGTCTTCAGCTTCAACAGTTATTACCCTTTTGCTAAGTCTCATTGTATCTGCCCCACCATTTCTCTTTTTAAAACATGC